CGGGCTTGGCTACAAAGCATTTCTCCTCAGTTAGGTTCGGCTCCTTACTTGCACTTTCGGTTGATCCACCAGCTGTGACCATCAAACATCTTCCAGCCGAACCTGCATCCTTTGCCACATAAGCTCTTCCATGAGTGGGCTTTCTCACCTCTTCATCCTCAGAATCGGTTGACCAGACTTCAACGCCACTGAACTCATCTTCATCTGCATTTTCCTGCACAATCAAGGCATTCATTGAACTGTTAGCTGCCTTCTTTTTCTTGATCTCTTCCAACTTTCGCATGTAGTACGCCTCATCGTCTTCACCATCTCTTTTCTCAGCCATCTTCCTCAGCATGCAATCTTTGGCAAAGTGGTTCTTGCCATGACAGTAATTGCAGTCGAATCCAGAGTCTCCTGCAAGCTTGCTCTCCTTCTTGTCTTCATCTTTTAGAGAAGTATTCTTCGCTTCATCCTTCACCTTCTCAGAGCTGTAACTTCCCTGCCAGTTTCGGTTCTTATTGACAGGAAATTTTCTTCGTGCAAACTTATTTGGATTGGTGACCATCATAGCATATTCTTCGCTTGTAAGGTCAGACTCAGACATATCCGACTCCTCTTCTTCTTCTGCAATACTTTTTCCTTTTGAGACAAGGGCCAACGATCCCACACCCGAAACTACCTTCGCCTCCTTGGTTACCACACTCTCATGGGACTTAAGTATTCCCATAAGTTTCGCTAGTGAGTAAGATTTAAACTGCTCATGTGCTTTCACTGTTGAAACCACAGCCATCCATTCTGGTCTCAAACCATTCATGAATGTTACCTTTTGTTCGATCAACTTCCTTTCTATTCCATGCTTGATCATCTTACTTAGGAGATGATTGAACCGATCGAAAGTTTGTATCAGTTTTTCTTCAGGTTTCTGTTCGAAAACTCCAAATTATGAGAGCAGCAAGGTTTGAATAGAGTGTTCTAGATCTTCATCGGTTGAGTAAAGTTCTTTCAACCTATCCCAGATTTCTTTGGCCGTCGTGCATGAACCAACTAACCGAAAAGTGTCAGATTGCAAGGCGAATCTGATCATTCTCATGGCCTTCACATTACACAGCAACTTGTCCTTCTCATCCTGTGGCATCTTGTCTACGTCCGCCACCAGCTTGTTATATTCTTTTTGGGTCTTAACAGTCGTGTTCGTTCCAGAATGAACAAACGGCCCAAGCGTGATGGCTTCCCAGATGAGATAACCATTATCTTCAGATCCGACCACATAATCTTCAAAGTGATGCGCCCATACTTCATAGTCTTGAGTGTAAAGAATGGGAATCCTGGTAGTGGATCCAATGCTGTTAGAGATGTTGATGGGATTTGTTTGAGAATCTTCGTGAGACATGGTGAGCCGCTAGAATCAGACCTGTAAACTTGAGATTAGGGTTTTATCAGAAACAAGAGTTACCGTCGACATGAAGAAGACGGCTTCTTTATATTCGATAAAAGCGGAAACCCTAAAGAATTCTTAACACAGAGGGAATGTGAATTGATCACACAGTCTCCTGCTCTGATACCAATTGTTAGAACAAAGTTCTGTTACGTTCGATAGATTCTATGCAGGCAAACAATTAAGGACGTAATTATGAACACAAGAATGGCTTTAAAGATGTCGTATGATTAAAACTTTAACACCTCAGAAGAGCTCGATTAAGAACTTCGATTGTAGAGGTGTTTAGGGTTACAAAACAATAATCAATGATAATCAAGAACGAATCTAATGCATACATGCATGCACTATTTATAGTTTAACCCTACTAGATAATCACGGATGGTCAGACCCAATCCGGATATACAAAATAAGCCCATGACGCAACACAATAATACCCAACACTTGCCTTTCCGGCCCACAACTTATGTATAGATTGCCCCCGGGTTTGTTGACTTCCTCACAGAGCAGTATTGCCTCAATTCAACCGCTTTATGCCAAAATATGCAAGAGATAAACATATAACCAGCAAACAGATACTCATGCAGATCTAACAGATCACTACAACATAGCAACATCCTATATACCAGGATACATAACATGGTGGGCCAACATTGGTGCCTTCGACCCATAAGTACAGTGAGGATAACTCACTTCATAGTCTGAAAAGATAGCAAAAAAGAACGTTGCTCCAAAATTTAACTCTGCAGTTCACCTATATAATAAACAGTGACCTAAACTCAAACTACAACTCAAAATATCCAAAATACCCCTAGGTTAAACTTGGTCAAAATCCCGGTCAAAGGTCAAAAGTAAAAAAGTCAACGAGCCAACGCAGACTGAGTACGCTCGGAGTAGTCAGCCACTACGCCCAGCGTAGTACACCCTTGGTCTAGTTATGGGGTCTTGACCAGGTACACACAACATACCATCAGGTACGCCCTGCATACTCGGCCCCCACCTTTTCTTTTCTATTAAGTGTTTAATCTATTAAGACACCACGTCCAAAATTCAAATCTGTTTCCAAATAACGTTCTAAGTCATAAAGTTTCCAACTTTATGACTTTCCAAGGCTAGAAAGGGTCCAACAACTAAACCCTAACTTAATAAACAAACCAAAACCTCATATCTCATGCATGAAGAAAGGAAAGGGACCTATATCACATTTTTATGGTCGTAAGCACCTAAAAACGTCTAGAAGGACAACCCTTATGGGTTAGAGTAAGCCATACTCATGAACACCAAGCTTGTGGGACCAAAATGAACAAAAACTCCAAGCTAACAAGATCTAAGAAAATACTCATCAAGTTTCAGACTTTATACCTCCAAATAATGCTTGACGGTGAAACACTTCTGGATCCAAAGTACCGTAAGCTTCCAAGATGGTTTCCTTTCCTTCTCCTTCCTTAAAGAACACCACAAATACACTCTTAATCTCACAAGGGCTTACATAAGAAATTAGGATTTGTTAGGGATGAAAAGGGGGATGGATGTTGATGAATGAAGGGGTCTCAATGAGATAATGATGCTTAAATTGGGTTCAAACCCTAAAAATTAGGGTTTGGGCATCAACCACGTACGCCCTGCGTACATAAGTGTACGCCCAACGTACTTGGAAAAACACGCGACCTCATTAACATAGCCAAGGGACCAAATTTGCAATGAAATTTCATTCTAAGGGGGTATAAACGGAAAATACCTGGATCAAGCGTGTTACAGTTCCAAACATCATGAACGATTAATTTAATTTACTATTTATTTTATTTTTGTAGCACTTCATAGAGTAGAACAAACAAAAATAAAACTAATCTTCATAAATGGTCCTTATGGTTTCCTAGAATATCAAGTTTAGTCTCTAACTTTTTTTTTTCTCTCATGGAAGGTCCATGTGGTAGGGATGAGCAATTTGTACCAAATCCCGATCTCTTACTGGTACCGTACCGAAACCGATACCGAACCGTACTGAATTTAGAAATATGGGACAGTACTCGGTATTCCAAAATCACAAAATTCGGGTTTCAATAACGTTGGTATTTGTACCATTCCCGCTACAGGTACTGATAATGTTAATTTGGTTCGATACTTTGGATTAACATTCAATCAAATTCGGTTTTCAGGAAATCGGGAATGATGCCGGTTCTGTCCCAAGCTCATGCGTACTATGTGGTTTCAATTCATATCGTAGTTAGTCTCTGTCCTATCAAAAAAAAACTTTTATACCCTTTTTATTTTTTATTTTCTGTAAACAAAATTATTTTTAAAAAAAAAAATCTACTCTAATAAATGAAGATTTTTTTTACCACGTCACATTTTCATTGAATTTGCCAAATGTCATTTTTTGATTATTTTGAATTAATTTTTTTCTACATGTCATTTTATGGATATTCCTATTTTATTAAATTTTACATAATATTTTAATATAATAATTACAATAAATGTAATAATAAATGGATATCAATTTTACTAATGGACTTATCTTCTAATTTCAAAATTCAAATTAAAGTTCATTAGTTTTTTTTTATTTATTTAATTTATTTGTTTAAATTTAAAAGATAAAAAAACATTTTAATTTTAATAATTCATTGTTTTTTTTTTCTTATAAATCCATAGTTCTCAAATCTTTAGACCTTCATATTTAACTTCTTTTTTTAAATTAATCCATAAAAAACATTTTAATTTTAATAATTCATTGTTTTTTTTTCCTTATAAATCCATAGTTCTCAAATCTTTAGACCTTCCTATTTAATTTTTTTTTTTTTTTTAAAATTAACCAATAAGATACATAATCCTCACAGGTAGTACAAAATAAATGGAAACTAAACATAGGAGGGAAAGAGATAATACGTGGCCTAATGAAACCATTTTAATAGCTAAATTAAACCTTAAAATACGTGGCAACATGTTATTAGTAATAAATACTTTAACTTTTGTATAAACGTGTATTTGTTTTGGAATATTATATTTCTTTTGGGATGTAACTAGCTTGTGAATGCGTTATCTTAGTTTAATATCAGTAAAAAAATAACAATAAACACGATTGTACGACATTTCTAGACATTTTAATTTGAACAGGACACATCCTATACATCCCATTCATATGCCTTTCACACCTGCTGTTCATACACTCTCTCTTCTTGGATTCGGCTTTCGAAGCTTGGCTTGCCTTTCGACTTTCAAACATCATTACTTCACACTTCACATTCACTATCATATAACATGGCTTAACCAGCTTAAAGCCAAGCCAGCCGTGAGCCGTAAGCCGTGGCTTTTTAACAAGGATCCTGTCAAAGCTACACGTAGTTAATTTCTACAAGGACCCACGTTGCATTGTCTTTGGTCAACCAATCACCCTCCATGGCTCCATCAGCCCTCACCTCATCAAATACCAAGTCCAGTTTCTCTAGTCTCTCCTATGTATCTATCTATATGTATATATATACCTTACAACCCAACCCCATTAATCTTTCTCTATCTTCCATTTCAAGATTTACATCGATTTAACTTCAGCATCACTACAGAGTTGGATACAGAGTCGTTTGGCTCCATGGGTAACTGTTGTTTGAAAGGGTCAAAATCATCAAGAATGGCGTGGGCTGAAACTGATGATGAAAATGATAATTGGGTCTACTATTCTGACCCCGATCTTCAACAGAAACAGAATCTTTTAAGTGATGAAAAAGTGGAAAACGAAAACAGACCAAATCCCTCTGTTTCTGTGAGTGGAAACATCAACAATGGCAAGAACAGAGAAGTGAAGATCATGCTGAGCAAGAAGAAGCTGGAGGAATTGTTGGGTAAGGTGGAGGATCTTCGTAACATCCCTGTGGATCGGATCTTGGATCGATTGATTGATTTTAGCGATGGATTTGAGTTTGATGATCCTCATCAGCAGCAGCAGCCATGGAGGCCAAATTTACAGAGTATCCCGGAAGAGAATTAGTGATTTTCTCGTTGTTGTTCATCTCTCTGTTTTTTCTCAGCGAGAAAGATTGAAATTTGGGGGAGGGGATTTTGATTCTGTTGTAAATAGTTTTTATGTTTTGTATAAAATCGCCTCTCATATACTGATTTCTAATTGATTTTTTATGGTAGTCTATAACATGTTTTTTCATCGTCATGTTTATAATTCATTTTGAAAACAGTTCAATTTTTTGATGTTAGAAATTTGTGATATGAAAGGCGATCTTATACAAAACCAATAAATTTGTGATTTACAACGACAACCAAATTGGAAAATCCACTAAATGGAATAAGCTTTGTTCTCGTAGATATTTTGGCTTGAATAGGTGTTTGTTTTCAAAAGGAAAAATATCTCATAGTTTTTTTTTTTTTTTTTTTTCTACATAATAAAATATAGACCAAAAGTTTTTTCCCATGTCTTTAGTTTTCATAAAAAAATTGTTTGTTTTTCTAATTCTTCAAAAAAAAAAAAACCATGGTAGTGTTGGTGTTGGTAGTGGCGGCAATGATGTTTGTGGTGATGACGGAAGTGGTGGTGGTGGCGAAGATAGGGGCAGTAGCGGACCTATGTAGTGTTGGGGGGTCCCGAACCACTACTCCAATTCAGCCCGGTAGTTTTACACAAACGTCTTCCAAAATCAAAAGTATTTTTTTGTCTTTGGGAAAAATATGTCAAAAAGTGTAACATCTGTTTTTCGGAACAGATCGGCTTAAGACTTAATGAGTCAAAGTTATGGTTTTTGGAGAAAACCATATGCCACGACGTGGTGGGTTGAAGACCATGTTGTGTCATGACAATTTAATGGAAGCGTGTCTGGCTCGTTTCCCACGGTGTGGCAAGGTGATGGCTATGGTGTAGCAGCTATTGCAGCCCAAAGCCCATGATTTTTTGGGTTTCTCCCATATTTAAGGACCTTAACTTTAGGGTTGGGCCATTCTTTTCAGCCTCCATCCTCCTATCTCGAAACCCTAGACCCTTTGAGTGTTCTTGAGGTGTTCTTGGCCACTTGAAGGCTCATTTCTCATGTTTTGGGTATGGAGCTTGAAGATCAAGTTGCTTGCAAAGTGTTTTGGTGAAAAGCTCAAGTGTAGATCTAGCAAGTGACTTCATTTCTGGACCATTGTGAGTATGAAGTTTCAACCTTTACTTCTAGTTTGTTAGATATAGCTTATGATCCATTTTATGCTTTTGGTCCTTTTTCGGTGGTGTTCTTGGAGTTGAGATGATTATATCTCCTTCTAAGCACTAAGGATTGTCTTATGGATCTTTTCTTGTTGTAAAGTTGGTAGCTTGACCTTGTCCTTAGAGTCATACATGTTTTGTGAATGATTTATGCCATTTTGGACATAGGGTTGCAGATCTTGCTTTGGGAGAGGTCCTAATGGATAAAGTTGGAAACTTTATCCATTAAGTCATTGAAAATGATTGGATCTGAAATTTTGAGTCTTGATCTGTAAGGATTAAGCTTTTAATGAAGGAATGGAAAATATGCCAACAACAAGGCGTGACTAAGGACATGCCACGACATGGTGGAGTCCATCTTCACGATTTTTTCCTGACATGCCCACGACATGGCCAAGGAGGACCGACGACGTGGTGATGTCCTGCATGTCGGCTATTTTGTTTGAACATGCTCACGGCATGGCCAAGAGGTCTCCACGTCGTGGTGAGCGTTAACTTGCTTGGTCGTTGACTTTTGACCAGTTTGAATTGGGGTCAAACTTGGATGATTTGGGTTTTTGTTTGAAGATTTATCTCTTTTGGTGTCAGTAGGGTCACGGGATTGAGCAGTGCAAGGTGTGAGAGTGTTTTTGTGCTTCTCCTTTTCTTCAGTTCAAGTGAATTTCTCACTATGACACTTATCCCATTGTACATCATTTGCATGTTAGGATAGGGGTGCTGTTAGAGTATAAGTATGCTATTTGACTAGGATAACTCCTTGTTATGTGTGTGCAGTGTTGGACACTTGGTGTCGTTGTATGTTAGAGCAGAAGGGTCTTGATTGGTGATCATATGATACTGTTAGGAATTATGTTTGGTTAGGGTAACTGGGGAAGGCCAGTTATCAAGATTATATATATATGGCCAACAAAGGACTTAATTAAGAAGTGCTCAATGGTAGGGTAACTAAGGAAGGCTAGTTTCCAAGGGAATGTAATATGCTAGTTAATGTTATTTGCATTTTTATATGATTATGTGGTAGTGATAGGTTTGGTTCTATGTAGTTTAAGTTGGATAGCCTGAGAACTCTTGGTTTAATGCCTGCTTGTGATGTTCTTGTCTGATTGATCGCTCTCGGGTCGATCATCTGTTCAACTGTCTATCTGATCCCTGACTACATATGACTCTATGTATTGCATGAAAGACTAGGAGCTAGCCCCTAACAAATGTATGAACGACCGGGACCTGGCCCCTGAAAATTATATAGAAGACCAGGATCTATTCCTTGACAACTGTATGAAAGACGAAGATCTGGCCGCTAGCACTCGCATGTAAGACCAAGATTTATCCCATGGCAATGGAAAAGAAAGACCATCATTTGGCCTATGGCAAGATGTGACTGTAAGACTATGATTTTGCCCATAGCATTCACGAGGGTATTGCAGTGGACCCGTTATTTCATATATGATTGTTATGTATGTTATATGCATGTTGATAGGAGAGTTGTTAGGTCGGTGTTAGAGCCGAAAGCTTGTGTGGATGCATCGTATATATGATAGAATATGTGGTATATTGGGGAACTCATTAAGCTTTATGCTTATAGTTGTAGATTAAATGTTTTGTAGGTTGTTCGTGGGTAGAGCTCAGCGAGACTATACATAGGAAATCGAAGATACTCGTTTCTGCGGTTTCGTAAACTTGACTCTGATAGTATATGGTTTCAATCAAACAAATGTTACTTAATGGTTTTAAAGCAAAGTTTTTAATTGGTAAATCTATTTTATGAACAAAAATATCTCTGTAATTTTTGGGATGTTAAAAGATGGTATCAGAGACTTAGTTTGAGGGATATGGGCGTGCCTTACGGTGTGCCTGAACTCAAACTGGGGACATAGAGATTTTTTGAACTAAGTTTTTGAAAGGGGGTGTTTTTTAGGGAAAATTAAGAAAATGTTTTCTCAAAAAGGTTTTTATTAAGAAAGGGATATGATGCATACTGTCGGACAGAGCTCAGGAAATAAACGATTCCCAATATACGCATATGATTTTGTATTTGTGTTATGCATTGTTTTGCATGCTAGAATGTAGGTTGTGGATCTTATCAAGACTGCAAGCTAGAATTGTCTGATTTGTATAGATGCCTCGTATGCCTTTTATGTATATTGTTGTATGTGTTGTGGGATCTTCAGTTGATTTTAGTATAGAGGCATGTTCGGCGTGCAGGTTTGTGGGAAGGGAAGAATCCTAGAGATGGAGTCTAGGATGTGTCGTATTATGCATATGGCTAGACGTATGCATGTGTGTTGGGAATTTAGTGGAGTGATGCCCTCAGTATGAGACTACGGTGGATATGAGGATGACTCACTACCATGACAGGTTGAGAATGAAGAAATGGGAGCACGTAAGTATCTCTAGTCATAAGAATCTTTCTGGTTTAGTGGAGGTGGCCAAGGAAAGATATATAGAGTTGGAGACCCAATTACGGAAGAGGAAGCATGATCAGATTCATGCATCGGTAGTCGCAGTCAAGAAGGTTAGGGTTACTAATTTCCGGTCAGGAGATCGAGAGACTCCTGAGTTTTGCATCAGGCGTGGTCTGGCTTATTGGGGTATTTGTCACGCGCCAATTTCTGGATGTTTCATATTCGGTCATGAGGGTCGCTACAGCCAGCACTATAGTTAGAGGGATTCGACAGTATGTTTCATTTGCAGTCAACCATGCCATGTTAAGGCTGTAACGCCCACAAATTCGGGCTAGACATTAAAATATTATAAGCGATAATTATTCTTCGTACCCATTATAGGCTATAAATAACATATTAATTAAAATATTATTTAGGATAAATAATCGTAAATAAAGATGTAGTAGTCGTAATGAAGATCTCGTGGATATAAGGAACACGTAAATTTGACTTCGTATGAAGAAGTTATATGATTTGTCAAGGTTTCGCGTTCAACTCTATAAAGCAAATCATGTCGTAAAAGTACAATAGAGATCAATTTCTTATTAGCCTAAGTAATCTAAACAAAAGTCGTAGCAATCGTAAAAGCGAGAGCGTACATATAAAGAACGCCTTTATCTGACTTTGTATGAGGAAGTTAAGATTTTTTGAAGTTTCGGTACAGCAGTGTGCGACACTAAAATCGAAATTATAGTCGGTTGATCGTTATCCAAAACAATGTAAACTAGATTTGAAGTTCCCATGAATACGAATCCATCGATAGAGACAATCGAGAATGAAGTTCATATGAAAGAGTTATGATTTTCGCACGAACTTTAACATTCTAATCTGTATTAAAGTATGAATTTAAAATAGAATGAGAATTAGTTGTTGAGACCTTAAGGAAAGTTGTAGAGATCTCAAGAGGATTCTGGCGATATAAAGAACGTCGAAAATGGAGCTCATATGCGAAAGTTATGGTTGCTCGAAGATTTCGAGAAAACACCTACTATGATGACGTGGCACCACTAGGAGGCGACACATGACAAAGAGAGCGCTAGTTCTTCCATCGACCGTGTTATATGGCACCGCAAAAAGCGGACACGTGGCACCAGAATTTGGTGACACGTGACGGTGTTCTAGAAGATGTGGCGCAAACAAAAAAGGTGATGACATGTGTCAAACGACATGAGGAGCGATGATAGCACAGAGGCGTGACGCGCCTACGTATGTGTGCGGCGTGCCTGGACAGTTCCCTTATAAATATCAGCGATTTCCATCCATTCTTCTCACATATTTAAAACCAATTCTCTCTGGATCCCTTCCCACCCTTGAGTCCGGATTTTTCCGAGATTCTGAGCATTTTAGCGAGGCTAT